TAAAGCTTTAAAATAAAAAATATAATGAAAATTACAAAATTAACAAAAATTACTTTTAACAGCTCGTGGAGATTGTCGTTTTGACAATGTCACTACCATATCGGAAAGTATGTATATGGCAGAGGAGGTAGAAACTTATTGCGGTAACAGCAAACCACCACTTTTAAGATCCATGTCACGAATAGAGATTATCTTCATGACGGACAAATATGTGCAGCGGAGCGGTTTTCAATTTAAATATTTCCTCAATAGTAAGTCTCTTCGAAGTTTCTTGTATATTAATGACAATTGCGAAAATTAAAATATAAACAATGATATAATTGTTAGAAAATATGATAAAAAAATATACAGATTTGATATATTGAGGAAAATTATAAGACAATTAAAGAAAAAAAAAATGAAAAATCATAATAAAACCGTTGTAACTAACAGGATGTGGTGGTATTATCACAAAACCCACTGAGCTTAAGCCTTTGATGCATGGAGAAGAATACTTTGGACGTATGAATTGCACTTGGGTCATTAAAGCGCCTCAAGGCAAGAGTGTACTTGTGCGCTTCGAGAAGTTTATTCTAGAGTTCAGCACAAAGTAAGCTTTTCACAAATCTATATTAAGTGAGTTTCTATTAAAAATTTTATTAAACTTTTATCATTAATTTGCAGTTGTTATTTCGATAACGTCGCTGTTTATGAAGGTGATTTTGTTAATCCGGACAAACGAACTGCTCTGGTTTGCGGTAACTTGACTGATAATTTACCAACATTTAAATCCGAGTCTAATTCCATGGTCGTTAACTTTAATGCCGATAGTTCAAGGCATTTCGAAGGTTTTACAGCCAAGGTACAAAGTCTGTTGTATTAAATATCACTCCAAAGTTATGTTTGATTTAATAATAACAGAATATTATAATAATAACAGTAGCCTTTTCATACAATTATCTACTGTCTCTTTTACAATGCACTTTATTGACATATTTTCAATTAAATTAAAAATTATAACTATAATTATAACTGTAATAATAATAATAATGAGCTTTTTTAGGTGCTATTCACGACAAGTCCAGCCAGCGGTTGCGGAGGATTAATCAATTTAACTTCGATTCAATCTGAATCGTTTAGAACTCAACAGGAGGCAACTTATCAACCATTCGAAGAATGCCACTGGACTGTAGTGACATCTTCAGCCAAAAGTATATTGTTTACAATTAATAGCATTGATATCAAGAACTCAATTAATAATATTACTCAACGTGATAAATGCAGCGGTGATTATCTCGAGGTAAATATTTGCGCCTACGTCTGATACGTCTACGTCTGATAGAATTTTTTTTACAAATACTGATAATAAGATTTTATTATACTTTAATGTGAAAAAAGAATAGACGGAAAATATTAGTTCATAAAATTACGATTATATTAACATATAAGAATAATGTGCATTTTATTGTTCTCAGGTTCGAGATGGCGGTGGACCTTATGCCGATCTTATTGGTCAATTTTGCGGCAATTCAGTGCCATCTCCCATGATATCTACTTCAAACAAATTATGGATTAGATTTTATACTGACGGTGTTACTGAAGGTGCCGGTGCAATAGCCACATTGAATATTGTCGATTGTAAGAAATTTTATACTTTATCAATTGTCCTAATATCACTATATTGTATAAAACAAAATGTACCTGAATGTATCTGTTTTTACGATAAATTTTATTTGTATATCTACAAATTCATGTCTCTTTTTTATTGAAATTTTTGTAAAACACTTTTAACAAATTTAAAACATAAATGTTACAAGGATAAAACTTTCTTGAATTTTTATTTAAATTTTACTTTATCAATGTTCTTTCTTTGATGACTTTTTTTGTGTGACTTTCTTGCAGCATTGTGCAGCTTAAGTACTCGATTAGTAAACGAAACAATTCATGTACTTACTTCGCCGGATTATCCAAACACACATTTAAGTGGAACACTATGTCGTTGGACTTTGCAATTTGCCGATAGATACAGTGATAGAATGCGAATCCGATTTATAGATTTTGATTTGGCGGATTCCAACAAGTGTGAAGATGAATATTTAGAAATTACTGAGGAAAAGGTAAATACTGATATAAGTAATATTTACTATTAATATTATATATTAAAATAATTATTCTAATGATTGATAATAATATCATTTTAAAAATATAATTACTCTTAATATTAAAAAATAAATATTTCTACAAATAATACAAAATTAAACTGTCATCTTTTTTTAACAAACAGAAATATATAAATGAAGGATTCGGGACAAACTTTATTTATAGTGGCGAAAGAAGCCACCCAATTACCGTCGAGATGGTAAGTTTTCTGCATTAGGAACTAGTGCGTTTCATTTTGCTAGTAATCCACCATTTATATTACACACATAAAATATCTTATTTTATGTTATCTTTTAGGGTAGCCGGTTACCTTTCGCCTCATACAGATATTGTGGCAGCGAATTACCACACGATTATTACAGGTATCTAAACTTATCTCCATTAGTTCATTACAATGATTTTTAAGAATTATTTCAAACTGAATGTTCTCTCTTACAGTTACAGCGACAAGGTTAAAATAACATTTAGATCAATGTCCAACAATCACAAAGGCTTTAAGCTGGAATACAGTACAGCGAATTGCGATCGAAATTACACGAGCGAGCAGGGACGAATCCTTCATAATGGATTTACAAGCTGCTGGATCACAATCACCGTTCCAGCAAATCGTACCATTTCTTTGTACTTCAATCATTTCAGCATTTACGACTTAGAGCAGTGCACGCGCAATGCGTTGCAAGTACGTTCCTTTGCACTTGCTAAGGAAAACGCGTTTGAGAGGATACAGAAATTATTCAATTTACTTTGAAAACCCGAGTGACGTAAAACGTGTATTGATACGCGTTGTAAGTTCAAGTTTCTAAATAGATTTATATATTTCAGGTACGCGAGGGTGACTCAAGTGGACCGCTTATAACGACGCTGTGCAGCACGGCAATGCCAAGCCCGATTTTCAGTTCTGGCAACAAACTCACTTTGCACTCCTGGACCGAGAGCGCCAGCTCTTATCAAAGTTATGACATCATTTACACGACCACGGATGCAGGTAGGACGCGTTCGTGGCAGCGTGCACAAGTCCTCTCTCATTGCATCCGATTAATGTACGCTACCAGATGCGGAGAAATTATAACGCGCGGGAGATGATTTACGACACTGCGGCGCCTCGAGATACGCGCCATGTGAAATGTTGCGGTTTATTTTCGCGGGAGACCGCACGAAAATCCGATTGCGATCTCGCGGCATTGCTTCAGACACCGCGCGAGTTATAATATAACACAAACGAAATGTACACGCAGATCGGCCCGCAGCGTCGTTTTCATATAAAACATCTCAAAATCAAAATTGCGCAGGTCGAGGTTGCGGCGGTCGTATATTCAATTATGGTGGCAGATTCACCTCGCCATTGTATCCCCGTACGTATCGCAACAATACCGTATGCACTTGGGACGTGAGCGTACCGCAAGGTTTTAAGATCATTCTTCAATTCCTTGTCTTCGACATCGGCACGAAGAAGAACTGCAGCAACAATAATCTCAAAGTTTACGATGTCGTCCCTAGCGGAGAACTTTTACATAGCACGTATTGCGGTGGAGTGAGTGATTTCGTAAAATAATACAATACATTTTCAAATATCACTATCGACAGATTCTATCACAGATTCTTTCACTGAAAGAACTGATTAGAGAATTTTTTTATGAGAATCTGTTATGCATAATAACTACGATTTTTTTATTTTTAATTATATTTTAAATTATATTTCAAATGTTTCTTAAAATCTTATTTTCATAAGATATATAATTAAATATATTCTTACAATGTATTTAGTTATATAAAATTAAATATATTTTAATTACGCAAGTATAATTAAAGATATTTTTTGTATAGGATGATCCAGCGAGACTTGAGGCTGATACCAATCGAGTTCTTGTTAAATATACTTCGACAGTGAACAATATTGGATCAGGATGGGTAATTGTATTCATGGCACAATCAACTGGTAAGCATAAACGTTTGCCTTTGCACGATGAGATATTTAAATTCTTTTATGGAAACCACAAGTCACATAGATATGAGGTAAAAGATAATAATTACGAATTATGTTTTCAGTGCATCCCATCGACGTAATAGAAAATTTATAAGGGAGACATCAAGACTGCAAAAAGTAATGTTTTTAAATTTAGTGGAAGATATTCTAAAATTTATGTATATTTACTATAGATATATGAAATTAATAAATTTGCCCGCTATAGAAAGCATTATATTCGAAATCTTCATAATATAATATTATTATTAATATATAAATATTTATTTAAAACCTTCATAATAATATTATTATTAATACATGAACAATATTATAATATTATCATTAATATATGAATGTTATTATTTTAATGCTACACAATCTTCGTCATCCATAGATCGTATACCTGGATATGCCCTTCCTTGTAGACAGAGACAGTAAATGACAGATTGTATTTTCTCTCCTTCGTTGTACCAAATGTACGACGAGCATGCTCGAACAAGACATGTTCTCTGACGTACAAGACATGTTCAACAGTTTCAAATGTGTCATGCAGTGTCATTTTAATCTACAGATTTTAAATCAATAACTTTAGCAAAAATGATAAAACAATGTGATGTGTATTGGAGTAAAAATGACAATCTTTCCTTTAATTTATAAGTACTTAACTTATGATTTCGCTGATAAAAAAATTTTATTTAAATTATTTCACGTTTCGGAACACTTTTTTTAAACAAAATTTTAATATAATTTCAAAAAATTTAATTAAATTTGAAAATATCACACACTTTTTTAGCTTTTATCAATTGATTATCTATATGCTTCATCATTGCGCCGATGTTTGCGCAGTGATTTCATTTTAACAGAAGGATAGAAGATTATATTTTCTCGCTTTATCAACTTAGTTCTCTGAGTCAGAAGGCGTATCCAGATACGTGAGATCTATGTCATCGTTAGTTGGAATTGAAAGATTTTCTTTATATTCGTTCTCATTTGTTTCAATTTCATTTACATTGTCTTCCTCTATAATAAAATTTTCTTTCACTGGCTCTTCCTCAGTTTCTTCTTCTTCTTGCACTATTTCACGCTTTTTTTTATTTTTCTTGCACTCCTTTGATGTTTCCTGAGCTTTATCTTTTTTTGTTTTATCGACAGTTTCTTCTTTCCCGGAATCTGCAGATATTACATCAGCTTCCTCTTCTTCTTGCACTACTTCACGCTTCTTTCTATTTTTCTTGCTTCTCGTCGATGTTTCCTGAACTTCCTGTTTATCCTTTGTCTTGCTCAGAATTTTTTCTTGCTCGGAATCTGTAGATGTTACATCAGCTTCGACTTCTTCCTTTTTTCCTTTAGATTCTGTGTTCTTAGATACTTCTACCTTTCTCTTTTTCTTATCGTGTTTTGTCTTCCTTTCGTTTTTGTGAACAGCATCGTTAACTTGTTCAGAATTATCTGATTTGGAGTGCTTTGTTTTCCTTCTTGAAACATCATTATTTGGATTTTCTTCTATATTTTCTACTTCCTCATTATTTTTCGATTTCTTCTTATGTTTCTCCTCTTTTAAGCTTTTCTTCGATTTTTGATGGATTTCAGATCTTTGAGGATCTTCAAGTAATGTTTCGGGTTCTTTCGATCGCTCTTTAGCATTTTTGTCTTTCTTATTTTGCGTTCCTGTTTTATCTTTCAAGTATTTTAATTTCTTTTCGATATTTCTATTTCCTTCTTCATTTATCACTTCACCATTTTCTTGACGTTTGGTCCGCTTGTTTTTCCATTTCTGTTCTGGCTTATAAGAATTTTTCTCATGTAAATGTTTTTCGGAAGAGTCTTCGTTGTTTCGTTCTGAGCTATTTTTCCTTTTCTTCTGCTCTTTCACATGTTTATCTCTTTTCTTGGACTGTTTATCTCTAAAAAATATTTCAATTATATAGAAATTTAATTATACAGAAATTATATAGAAATCAATATTTCTATTAAAAATGCAAATTTAAAATAAATAAATAACAAACATTAATCGAAATGGCTAATTTAAAACTAATGATTTATTTATTTAAATGTTTGTTTAGACGTAAATTTATGCATTTATAAAGCTTATTCAAAAGTGATAATTAAATTTACTACACTGAGAAAATAAAATAAAAATGTTGAATATATGATGAGAATTTAAATAAATGTTCCTACTCTGTTCATCGTTGCTTACTTTGTACGATATTCTACATCGACCTTCCTCTCTTTTTCACCATCGTTTCTTGATTCCACATCCTTACTCAATTTTTTTGCAGAAGTTTCCGCAACGAGTATTGCGACTAACAAGAATGCAGTCAATAATATCCACAATCTGCACAGACAAATTTAGTCTTATTTCATATTCTTATCAGTAATTTTGAGACGTGAGAGATTAAAAATTAATTCTGTCTGTTCTAATTTATTTTTCGTAAACAAACAAAAATTAAACATTTTGTTCTGAATTAAATATAATTAACAGCTCTATACAATGATTAATTTATACTTTTTCGTAAAATTTGAAAATATTTTAAAATCTAGTTGTGTATAGTTTGAAAAATCATAAAAGATCGTCACATAAAGAGCAAGTTAAATGTCTGTTTCATTATTGAATTAGTTTTCAAAAAACTTTTTTCTTACCTCATTGTGGTAATTGTCTGTATTTGATCGCACTTTGATTTTCTTCCCGCACGTATCACGGTCTAGCATAACACTATCTCTGCTCAGGTATTACTTGCCCCTTATATCTCATATGTTGTGTATCAAAGATATCTTGATAAATATAACGAATGTGGTACACGTCAATGATTTTGCGAATTCGATATCACGTGTTATCTGTATGAAATCTTCTGAGAAGGAGAATATTTTAACGTTAACGCGCAGCGAGATTCAAATACGAATATAACACTTTGATTAAGTTCGCATATAATCGCAGACATGACCTGAGTGTTTTAAAATGCTAAGAGATGATAAGTACTATTTTCTCACATATCTATACTTCCATTAGATATATATATTTTCATGTAATACATCTAACTTTCATAGTTAGAATTGTATATAATTCATATTTCAATCGCGGTGGATCTTCTGCGGATATCTAATCTAATGTTAACAGCAAAATCGGCTGATAGTACGCAGCTTCTGACGTTAATAAGTACTCAATGCACACGACAGTAAAGGTAATAAACAACTTTTATGTGCTCATTTACGAGAAGCCTTGATAAAATTGTAATTTAAAAAATATCTTATGACGTCTGTAAATGAATTAATACTGATAAATTTGAGTGTATGATAGTTATAATACTCTCTTAACAAAAGCTACATAATTTGATAATGCTTTTTTTAATGATAAATTTCAAGTGTTACAAATATAAAATACAATAATCCTATAATCTCTTTCCTTTCTTATTAAAAATTGTGTGCCTTTTTTTAAATATCTGTCTTAAAATTACATCGCATCGTAAATTGTTAACTGGTTTTTTTGTCGAAATTATTATTTCAAATAAATAATGAGCAATAGTTATAACACACTTCTAAACAACAACGTATAATATACTTTTTAAATTTTCTCATTACCAAATTTACTATAAAATTTCTAGTAATATAATTATAAGATCTCTTTGTTTCTTTTCTGTTCTTAATAAAATTATATTTCAGTTTTATCAAAATTATAAATAAATTAAATATATGCATAGAGTTAAAGTAAATATATAACAAAAAAAGGAATATACAATATATAAGAATCTATAAAAAAAATATCTTAAAAAAAAACCTTAATTTTGAAAAATAAACATTAATTAACAATTTATTAACAAAAAATAAAATTGTACATTTCTCAAAATCATTTTATCTAACAACATGTGTAATAATGAAAATGTATTATCTTAAAAATAAGCGAAAATAAAAAATTATATTATTTGAACGGAACAAATATTTGTAGTCAAGAAATTTAACTTTTAAGATCATGAAACGCAAACTTCTTTTATTTATATTAGGATAAAACATATTCGTTGTATAAAATTGTTATTTAATATTTATTTTTTACAAATAAAGGTTTTTCTAAATAAAAAATTGCTTTAACGAATACTTTTTGTACCTACTGTATATTCAAAATAAAATTTCAAGTATTAAATCGTTCCAATTATAGACGTGTTATTACCTGTTTTCACTTTTTATATCTTTATAATATCTCTGAAATCGTGTGCTGTTTTGTTATTCATTCACTTATTTATCAAGCAGATGACGTCTTATAACGACGATTTAAATTCACAGATTCGAAACTGAAATTCTTTTGTATAAACTGAAATATACGTCTTATTTCTAAGAAGAAATTGTCAAATTTAACAAAATATCCTCAACTATTCTACTGGATACATATAAAAATTTAAATAATATAGTCACTACATTTTTGAACATTTTTAGTTGGACAACAAAATGAATTTTACAAAACTCGAAATGGGCCACGTGAGAGTATAGTTCATTCATGGAAATTAGGTACCATTTATTATCGAAAGACAGTAATTAATTACTTATTTGGAGCACTAAAAATCCTCCATGAATAACAGAGCCTTTAATATTAAAAATACATAATTAATTACTGTTTTTTAGTATTGGCCAGTATATTATTTCTGTAAAAACGGATAGCATAGAGAGTCATAAAAGAATTCTATTTTTCATGATTCACCATTTACAAAATGAATTTCTGTTTCGTTCCATTTCTGTTCTAAAAGTATTGAACGAGAATCAATATTTCGCTTTTATGTTGCCAATTGTGAGTTCTTTTTCACATATTCAAAATATATCTATTTTTTTTCCAATCAATCCCTTTCTATTTCTTAATTTTATATGTACTTTATTGTATAAGAATAAATCATATTTTGCTTTTTATACAAATTAACCATTACTCTTATTACAAGTAGCATTTACACAAATATCCATATAAAAATACATATTTATGAATTCTTTTCTAATTCGTTAAATAGATTACGCTAATTTATAATTACCATGCAATATTGCAATGTTTCAGCAATCTTTCTGTGCTGTATGGGAAGGCGAATACTTTCCGAATTTAAAATGGATCAATTGTGGAGCTATTTGAGAAAAGAAGAATTGAGAAGGAATAGAATATTCGGAGAGAGTTAATTTCTTGGAAAAATATTTTTGGAAACGACGAAATAAATCGACGGTTGATGCGCGACCTTGTTTGTTTTTTTTTACGGCGTACGTGAGCGCGGGGTACTGCGTGACGTCACACCGAGCCGTGACTGACGACTCTACCATTTGCGCGGCGTAGCTCGAGCGGGTAGGTAACGACGCATATCGCTCCGTGAATTATTAATTCCCTTCAAATATCACTCGTGATCATTGGCTACGAACAATGTTCTTATTCTCAAGACGATTACGAGGACGATTAGATCCCCACGGCGAACGATCGTATGCGTATTGAGGTGAGGTATTTTTCGTCATTCGATCATAAAGCAATCTTGATGAAAATAAAAATCGGAACATAAATCGGATGTAATGGAAGAGCAACAGAAGCGTGAACGAAACTTCTAGAAGGCGAAAATTGGAACAATGAAATGTAAAAGAAGCATTTATACTTCTTTTACATTTTGATGTTTCAATTTTCGCTTCCTAGAAGTTTCGTTTATGCTTTTGTCACTCTCCCATTGCATTCGACTTACGCTCTGATTTTTATTTTCATCAGGGAATCAAAGGGGATAGATTATAGAAACGTTGAATCATTGTTTCGCGATCATATCTGTATTCTGTGGGCAATAATCGTGTCTTTGCGGTACGCAGAATTATCTAAATTCCAGAGTATCTCGCGTTGTGCCAATAGAACTGCGAATTTCGACCGTTGGCCAGCTCTGTAACCGACCGTTAAATTGACTCGCGTGAAGTTAGCTATAGGTGCCTTTGAATTCGTCGGCCATTTGCTAAACGCCGCAAGTGTGAAACGGATCGGCTCCGAATTAAGGCTCCCATATTCCTGTAACTTTTAACGACCGTAACGATATCGTTGTATTGTTACACAGTTTTTTTACTCTGTATAAAATCTGCGCAACGAGACAATTGTATGATATCGGATTATATATCTTCCATTTAGTGATACAAGTCAATTCTATCTTTCTTTGCATGAATAACAAAACAACGATATTTTTATTGATTTTGTCGTTAAAGTGGCACCCATTGTTATTGCCATTAAGGCCTCTATCCTGTAATTTTTAAAAGCAGATAACGATATCATTACGTAAGTAAAGAAATTACGCAATAACGATTCTGTCATTAAGAGTTACAGAATATAGCCTAAAATAAAGAGTTACGGAATAGCCTAAAGTGACGTGCCGTGCAGTTTAATTAGCCGCAGTTGATCTGCCATTTCGATAATTCTCCATTATGCAACGTGAATTCGGAGTGCCGCGGTAACTCGAAAGCATAGAATTCTACACCGCTCGATGCTCTTCTACTAATTCCATTCCACTAATTTACGAGACGTCGCGAACTGATAATAGCTTCATACGATCCCATATTTTACCGCGTCACTTTTCCGTCGTGACACAGATATGCGCGTCGCGTGTCATCAATTTGGAAGTGTCGTACCGTACGATTATCGTATTTTGCTAATTAATATATGCCATCGTACGTAATTAACTATAATTCGCGAGTGAGTGTTGTGTGAATATTACGAATCTGAAGAAACAGGAGAGTTTGAGAGGAGGACGAGGCCCGGGGAGGCATTGGGCAACTATAGGGTGAGTAATTTATGTATTGCTGTTCTTTTTAACTGAATTTCTTTAATCTTAGATAGTTCACGTTTTCTCTTTTCCTCTACATGAAAAGAAAAAAAGGAAAGATGAATCGTGTAAGAAAAAGACCTAATAATTCATTATTTTTTATTTTGGTTAAAAATAACAGGCCTTATCATTTTGCTTTTAAATTGTAATTATTTGCATTAGAGCATTATTGTAGTAATATTTCGCATAATATTTCGATATCAATTATTTTAGGCGTTGTGATAATTTGGACAAATTTGTATCTTACAGATCGACGTGGTAATGAAATGCAGTTACAACTCTGCCGCTGCGCATCGTACCTGTAAGTCAAGTTTCTTTTCATTTTATTTGAATCTGAAGGAATGGATCAAAAGAGAAAATGTATGACAAATAAATATAGCCATCTCTTGCGGATTCATTGCTTCAAAATTGATTGATATATTTAATTCTGGAATATGTGACATCGTTCATGGTTCGATTTATGGTACATAGGAAAATGCACAATAATGAGATTATAACATAGAACTCGAAATATCATTTATTCTCATAAATTCTATGACAGAATATCTTTTATGATAGAATATGTAGAAGATATATTAGACTGTTAAAAATTCATAGAACAAATTATGGATATAAATAAGAGGAAAGATAAAAAATATTTTACAAATAAATCAAACTTGGTGATTAATGCTAAAGTGATTAATGCTAAAATAATTTTTGCAAGAAATTGTTTTTAAATTTGATGAATATTATCTGATATTATCATCTTTTATGTTTTTTAACTAAGCTTTCAAGATTTTTTTGAGATTTATAAAAATTCTAGATATATTAAATTTAATTAAATCTTTAAGTTGATTAATGAAAGCATGAAGAGAAAAAAAAGTAAAATTCAATTATAATATATTTTTACAATATAATACTTTTACTTTAAGCTTTTCGTGGTATCTAAATACACTTCATAAATGGTAAAGAAAATGAAAGAAAAAAATTATTAGATTGTTTAGATGTGGCTTATTTTATTTTCTTTTTTTCTTCTCAAAAATTTCAGTTGAATATGAGATTTGTGTTTGATTTTTATATATTGTCTCTCTTCCAGAGTTAAATATTTATAAACTGATGCACACATAAGAAAGAGAGTATATAAACATTTTAAATAAATATATGGCATACAAAAGTAAATAGAATAACTGAAAATTTTTAAATACAAATATTCCAGATAATTTAATAAAATTAGCATTATCTACTAATTCTATAGATAAGAAACAAGCTAATGATTAATTGCATTCATTCCTATAATGTGCTACATTTCGTCTTTTTCTCTTTTTTGTAATATGTTTATCCACATATTTATTGATAACTTGATTTTGTATTATTTAAAATGATGTGAGACTAAATATATTTGGTCACCGCATAGAAAAATTATTTTACATTAAGGAAATTATTTATTACATTAAGGACAAAAATAATTATGTAACTAACTTCGTGAATAAGAAATCTGTTGCATTTACGCTTAGCAGAAATGAAATTTATTCTTTTCATTTATCACTGTTTAATAATAGCAAACCAGTTTCTAACAAAACAATATTTATGTTATGTTATCAAATTTAAGCTATGTAGTATCGAGTATCATCAATTGTATTCAGTGGACATTATATTTATCTAAATTTAGAAAATTGAATATATACAACGCGTAATATAATCATTTTGCAATTTAAAACAGAAATGGGATGGTTCAAAGCACAATAAAAATGCAACAATTAATAAAATTATATATGCTCATGTATTTTGAATTAAATCGCATATTTGCATTGTTTAATATTTGTTAAACTCTCACGGGGAATTCAACATTTTTTATCGCATAATACAGTATTGTACTATTAGTATACCTATAAATTGTGCACAGTATACTATTGCTAATCTATTATATTTCTTTCTCCTGGTCCTTTACTTTATAAGAAAATGCTAAAATTTCATGAATTTCATATGTTAGTTATGATGATAAATGAATAAAAAAGAAAAATTAACGTGTTATACTGTTGGCATTATTTCGTTACACATTAATTGAAAATGCTTTCATAAATATTTTTTAAAATATATTTTATGTCAGAGATTGCGTTTATACATAGGATATGAAATAAGAAATGAACTGATTATGTTAAAGAAAATAGAATAAATTTTTCTCTCTCCTCTAATTATTTTTTATCAAGATTATTTATTTAATGTACTATAGTATTTTTGAAATAGTAGATACATTTAATAAACTTTATATTAAACGAAACATATGTAATTTAAAAGTAAAACATATATTTTTTAAAATTATTTCTAATTTCACTAATCATTTATGATACATATTTCAGACAATAAAAACAAAAGCATTTTCTTTTATGTGTAATATTCAGTTTCTACAAGTATATTATACACGATAAAGATATCGTAAACGTATACGTGTATAAATATTACGTAGACACAATCACAAAAATTATATATTTACGTATTAATATATTTGAATTATCAACATATAAAATATCTTATTTGCGAATAATAAGATAAAATTAGAAAATCAAATTGATTTTGATGAAAGCTATTTAAATATTAAATTTGTAGCATTCTCACTATTTTCTAGAATATGTGCATATACACGATGACTAACGAAATCGTTGCATATAATACATTTATAAATATAAAAATTTGTAGAGAAATAAAAAATAATCGGCAATATAATTTTTTAAATCGTTTATAGAGTTGATATTTATTAATATTTATTAATATTTATCTTAATATTATATGAAATTAGGCTCTTAAAAATTTATTCGCTTCATATGATTTTCATGACATTATGCAATAAATATTCTTTTGCATTCCTCACGATATAATGGCAAGTTAGAATAATTTTACAAAAGTGAACATTTTGTTAGGTGTTACGTAAAAATCTACACTAATTTGTAAAATCTAATATATTATTAGATGTATCAAGAATGCGTTCAAAAACACTATATGAGTGTTTTCGAATATAATTTTATTCTTATTTAAAATTTTCGATGAACAACAAGGATAAGATGATACTCTGATAGTATTTTCGAATGCAGCAAGAAAATTCTATTGGAATTTTATTAAACTTTAAAATCTATACGTACCACAAGGCACTGATAGTAAAAAGTATAAGTGCCAATAAAAATAATCTTAATTCATGATTTTATTTAATTCTCTCTAATGGATGATCATTAAAACTGTATTCTATTCTAGAATTATATTATAATAAAAGCTTAGTAAGTGTATATTTTAAGTATCTCTTTTTAAACTTGATAAGTACTTATTATTCTCGCATATTTTAACTATATACAAGCGCATATATATATATATATATATATATATATATATATATATATATATATATATATATATATATATATATATATATATATGCGCTTGTATATAGTTAAAATATGCGAATATATGTTTAAACTATTAAAGAGTTTTACACTACCGTCAAAAAGTTTCCGGACATGAAACTTACAATTGCATAATATTTAGGTCATCGTAACTCAGTAAAGAATCATCACAGCCAAAAAAAATAAAAAAACATTTTAAAGCTAAACATTTTGAAACTTATATTTTAACACGCTTTTGACTGCTTTTCAAAAAAATTTTTTCTTTACAGTTCTGTGTAATAAATATCACGTTGTTGTATTTTTTAAAACGTACATTTAACAGTGCGCAATTTGATAGTTTTTTTTTTCAAAAAGTTCAATATTTTCGAAAAACAGTACAAAGATTTATCTCCAAAATGCTTTTTTAAAAATTTTCTTATGATTTTTCTTGATTAATTACGCAATATTGAAGCTATATTGCTAAACCAATGATGAAATTTGATAAAAAATAATCACTAAAAAAATTTTATCTTTTCAATTCTGTAGAATTAAATTTAAAAACGATCAGAAGCTTATTAAAGTACAAATTTCGAGCTTCAAAATACTTCTTTAATTTTTTACGATAGTATTTCACCAAATTTTAATGTTGGTTGTAAGCTATGTAGGTTTAACTTTAGTAACGCGTAATTCAGTCAAGAAAAATCATAAGAAAAATTTTAAAAAAGCATTTTGGAAATAATCTTTATACTGTTTTTCGAAAATATTGAACTTTTTGAAAAAAAGAAACTTCATCAAACTACGCATTGTTAAACGTACGTAATTTTAAGAAATACAACAACGTGATATTTATTAAGATACAGAATTGTAAAGATAAAATTTTTTTTGAAAAGTAATCAAAAGTATGCTGAAGTATAAGTTTCAAACTTTAAAATGCTTTTTATTTTTTTGCCTGCGATGATTTTTTACCAAGTTACGATGACCTGAATATTATGCAATTTTAAGTTCCATGTTCGGAAACTTTTCGACAGTAGTGTATATATAAAATTATCATTGCTCTGGAACGTACGCACACAACTAAAGAAAACTAAGTAACTGTTTAGCACTCTTGTGAGATCCATTCTCATGAATCATTCTTAAGTCACTGAGGAATATTATATGTTATTTGTCACTAAAAGAAATTTGTGAGATTTCACATTGAATTCTATTCGGGTGAATAAAATATGTGCTTTCTTAAGATCGTCAATAATAAAATAAAAAGATTGCTTTAAGCTTGAGCGATGATAATACGCAAAATCAATTGCGTGTGGTCCACATCTAAATATCTGGAGATTAGCGTTGTTAAGAAAACACTCCACATCTTATTACCCGATTAGGATTGCGCAACACATGTGATATCTTACAAATGTGCTCTACTTATTATCAATTATTTCTTTGAACATTTGTGCACAATCTATAACATGGTACAATTTCCAACATTATTCAATTTTAAACAAAATAAAATCTGATTTTTAAGATTCAAATATGCTAATCCTCTCTTTGTGTGGAGGGTACTGAACGGTACTAAAGATTTTTATCAAATAAGAAAAAAATCAAACTTTGAAAATTGGATTTAAATCTTATTTCGTTTAGAATTGTACGATGTTCGAAATTGTATCATTTTATCTTATATGAATATACTATTATCAGTATAACTGCATAATCTGTGTTAAATCTGATTTGAAACATTTTGTCATGTACCTGAGGTAATCATTTCATAAAAATATTTTTCTTCATTATACATAATACCCTGACAACTATATAATTTCTTTCATATCAACAATCAGATCTATTTACAATGATAGAACGGTATTGAAAATAGGTATTTTTCGTACATATATTCGACTGTATTTTGCGTGTTAAAAGACTTAAGTTTCAATATAAGGAATGGCAACAGCAGGAAAGTAAGAAACCGAAATAAAGATACATCGCGCTTATTCTGACGGATTCTTTCGGCTCGGAACAATCTTGCTCTTTTTCTTTGACGAATCATTTAATAGGCATTCTTCTTGAATAGATTGAGGATATTTTTGATCAGGATAGTTCCACGCCTGTATGTCCGCTGTACCAAATATTTGATAGGCAATATATGTACTGCAAGATACACCCGCAGTAACGGCAAATACTCTTCTCCACGAATCGAGAGATTGCTGCAGAAAACGTAACGTTATTTTAATTTTTTAGAAAGAGATAGAGATAGAGAAAAATAAAAGAAGAAAATATAAACGCTTACGCTTTCTTGTGTGAGCAGACCAGCTGCTATAGGAGATAGGAAACTGGCGGTCATGTGAATTGTCTGCGCGAACGCTAACACTGGTCCTGAAAATAATAAATATTGATTTATAAATTCATATTTCTTACAAATAAATATATTCGTACTAAAAATACGCGCACTGACCAGCAAAATTGGGTGCGATGTCGACGATGTTGGCCATTGCGCCCGCGTAACCGGCTGTTATGAGAGTAACAGCTATAAACCACACGATCAAAACCAGGATAACATCGCAGCCCAAGTATCCAATTAAGACCACAAGAATTCCGGGAACCACTTGAGCTATAAGCAAAAAAAAAATCAATTGCTTCAATTTATCTTCCAAGTATTGATCAATTTAAGGAAAGTCACAAATGAACTCACATAGTGCAGTAAATATCTTGCGCACAGTGATTAAAGTCATGATTTGCCGCGTGACTAGGAGATCCGCAATGTAGCAGAATACAACGGAGCTTAAGTAGCTACAGATAAATGGTGCACCTGACAGAATACCATTCTAAACGAGTTAATAACGTTTATTATTATGTGCGTTAGCCATTATATATTGAAAAAATTTAAAAAAGAATATTTTCAAATGACATACCGTTTGTATACTGAATCCTAATACCGTTTTCATATACATCGGGCCGGGAATGATAAAGACATAATGTATCCATATTCTTCCGAAGGTTGTAATACCGATAGCCCACGCTGACCAAGACGTGAGTATAGATTTCCAAGGAACGGGCAGATCCTTTAAGAGAAAAAAATATATGTAATTACATGCGTTCTAAGAGAAGATATTTTTTAAATGCGTTTTCACTATGGTATACTAAACTTCTTTTCCAATATTTTTCTATTGCTTATAACTTTTTTTTATTAATAAAAATACATTTGCCTGGAACCGTTATGTTTCTTAATGTCTAGCGTTTCGATTAAAAAGAATTTTTTTATAATATAATCATTTTATAATATATTCATTTTTATGAAAGTTATAAGCAATTGAATTGGATTGGGTATGCTGTACTATTAGTGTAGTGTACATTTGTTCCCGAAGTGAGGGATGTTTAGGAGTTAATAATCATAGTTACTATGAATCACTTTACCTCGTCTGCTCCGATAACTTGATTTCTAACGCATTCCTGAATGTATTGAAGTTCCGGCTTAGATATTCGAGGATGCAAAGCAGGTGTGTCGAAGGCGCAAAGATACCAAAAGATACACCAGACGAGACTGATAGTGCCAGTCGTGTAGAACACAATCCTCCATCCGAAGTGAGCGATGATGAACGCGCACAACGGATAGGTCAATCCAATGCCGATGCTGAACCCTGAATATAGACAATCTAGATGTTAGGAATAGCTCACCCTACGATCCCGGAAGGAAGCTGAAACATGATGCTTGTCGAATGGTCTTCATCTTGATTTGTTACGATTCATGTGTGGTGATGATCACTCTTCAGTTGAGGTGTATCGTATCTCACTCTGTAAAGCGATTCAAGTAAAGACTTAGTACGCAGGGACGATGATAGGGCATGATGAAGCTGTTAATAGTGGGACAATGAAACTTCTTTGTCTGCAAATAATAAAAGTTTAAACTCGTTCTACCTGCAAAATAAGTGTCACTCTTCTTACGCAGAGAATCACAAAAAATATATCATATCATTGAAAAAATGAAGTTATACGCGTATAAGTCAAGAAGAAAATGCAGATCTTTATTTCCATAATAGCATTTCTTTTGTTGCTGCCTTATGTTATTATAAATGCATTCGTGTAAAAATTTACGTACGTTCATAATTAATTTTTTTTTAATATCATAAAATATTATACTCAAAATGGTCAAATGACATTTGTTTAATGATCACTTTAAACGATTTATAATTCATGTCAGAATTTGAGATATTTTTTATAATTTTATATGCCATATATAATACGAAAAAGAAACATTTACAGAATTAGAATACAATAAATAAAATATATATTAAAAAATACACAGCATATAAAATCAAACTAATTTATTCTTAATCATTATACTTAAATCAGACGCGAATTATAGACCGTGCAAAACGCATTGAAAGATATATGAAATAATATTCGATATTTTGTGCTGATAGAAATAAAGTCTAATAAAAGATAGCTTAGGTGTAATAGTTTAGAGAGTAGAAAAAAATTAACGCGCCACAGTGTAAATAAAACAAATGTACAAAATGAAACTTGTGGTCCGTCTCTGGAAAAGTTTGAGTGAGAAAGATGATTAGATTTATTAATTGCGCGCGCGCGCACGTACTGCAGATAAATGAATGTAGTCAAAAGATAAAATTTGTACATATAAGAAAGACAAGTATATAGAGACCATATACATGTTCGACGAGTCCGGCTGATTCTACCAGCTGGAAGTATACTCGGCCTTTCTCATGCTGTTGAGCGGTCGCTGTTGAGTATACCCCTCGGTCCGGCGAATGCAACCTCGTGGAGATGAACTATTTCGGGATCATTAACAAGTGATCAATTCTGGCGCAGATCGATGCGCAACATTTATAGAGAATTATTTTCATTTTAGCAAGAGATTATTTTCTTGATCCGGAATTTTGACTGAAACAATAATATAGTAGTTTCTCATTCGAACTTCCGTATTCCATTCTGAAAGAAGCGTGCATTAGTATTCACGTGAACACAATCGAAAGAAATATGCGAGTTTTACGGCATTATATACTTGCGACTGTAATATGAGGCTACGCGCATAGTTTTCGCCTAATTTTGGATCGAACGTATCGAAGTTTCACTGTAACACACGAAAATCTCTGTTAGCCGGTAATTTGTAACGTACCTTGAAAGGAAGACATGAAGCGTGAGCGTTCCACGGGTGGAATCCAGTGTCCGATTACGGCGTACATCGCGGGCCACGTGAGTCCCTATTTTCAACAAAAAAAAATCAACATAAGTCACAAAAATCTTTTTTTGCTATCCTAATCAATAGATAAATTTCAATAATATTTAAAAGATTGTTCTGTCCAAAAGATTTGAAATGTCTTTTAGTCTTTATGATATTCTTTAAATATTTATCTTGTCTAGATATAAAGTTCATCATATAAAGGATTAAAATTATATATATAAATAATATATGGCAAATTAGGTGCAACGTTTCACATATATTGTAGCTTATAATATGGCGAACAAAAATATTACATACGCATGACTCAAAGCATGGATAATTCTTGAATTATGGTGTATCAAAGGTAATTATGATGCTCCGCGAGCACCAGTTTTACTCTTTTACTACACCATAAAAACTCTGTTATTCAATTTTGATCTTTTGATCACACATATTATAAGTTCATCATATGTAAAAACTAATTCATTTCACTGGGACCTAATTTTCCGTTTAATTATAGTGCGGGGTTTTTTATTCGATGATTAGTGACTTACACTGGCAAAGCCCTGTATACTACGTAACGCTATTATAGCCCCATAATGGATCTCTGCGGCAGTCGGCATAAGCAGACTGCAGACGGCAGTGATGGCTTGAGATCCGCCGAATATGATTTTAGTTCCGAAATACTGAGTGAGAACACCGCCGAGCATTTGCGAAAGTATATAACACCAATAAAAGGAACTAAGAATGGTTGATTGAATAGTTGGACTCCACTCGAACTCGCCAGCGTCCTGTTTGTAAGAATGAAGATATGATATTATAGTGCAGTATATGCGCAAATTGCGACAAGTTTGAATTAAGAAGATTAGCTTTCATCGGATTGAAAAATGGGGAGGGAAGGTTAAATTTATTAAAATTTATTGAGAGTCCAAGGAAGTGTTTAATAAGTATTAGTTTCAAGTTTTCTTTGTCACAAATTGTTCGTTGTTTTCCTAAAAATTATAATTCTAAAAAAATAGAATAGGTATAGTTTTTAAGAAAAAATAAATAAGCGGTATAATTTTTAATTTAATAAAATTTTTCTTATTTTGATGATTGTTTTTCCTCTTTATTAATAATAAAAATTTTTAGTAACTCATTAATTTTACTAGCTTGAATTATCTTATAAAACAGGTGATGAAATTATTTCCATAGCAAAAAAAGTTATGGTAATATGACACAATAAAATCAAGGTGATGCGCAATTGTCCGCTTTGTCACAGATTGATATCGTTATGACATTAGTATGAAACTGTGATAAAGATTGTCACCTCACTGTGATATTGTTATGACGTACAGATTAAGATAATGTGATATCACACACTATGAGTTTTTAATACACAATGACATTATAATTTATTTATGATTATTGTGAGTGAATGTGATATTTTTTTGTTATGGTATATAATAACATAATTTGCTTTTAGAATCACTTACTTAATTTGCTATTGAATTTTTTTTGCTATCGAATAACTTTGCTTCGTTTTTTTATTAAAACGTGTATGCTGAATATTCTTTAAAGAAATTTTTCTTGGTTTGACGTCAATACGTGAAATACATTTGTATTATATTTACATTATATATTACGACACACAAAGTATCAATATCGCATTCATTGTATTCAAAGAGATTATCCCGATTTAATTTTGCCAGTCCACTATACAATAAAGTATTCCAATTAAAATAAACCTGTCTGCGACTGAATATTTACTAATATAAGTGCATTCAAACCTCTTCAGACCTGATTTTAATGGAATTATATTAAAAAAACGTTTTTAAAATTCAATTCAAGGGAAGTTTATTAAGTAATTTATACTAAACAATTAATTTTTTCAAAATTTTAACTATTTTTTAAACATATATATTCTTATGGACAGCTGCTCAAAGATGAGGTCGACAGAATTAAATAATTTTAAAACATTTTCAAATTTGATATCCATTATAACATATATAGGATTTGAAGGAATTAAGCAATTTAATAAAAAAGATTTGTATAAAAAAAATTTTTCTCTGCGTAGATTGAAAAGTTCCTTTTTTGTCAGGGAAATAAAAAAATTGTTATTTTGAGGATCTGACAAAATGAATGATACATAGATAAAGAAAGAAATAATGCGCTGTGCATTATGTAATCGTACCTCTGGTCTGATTACAGTAGTGTTCTCTAAATATGATGTATTTGATATTGTGTAGCACTGAGATGTTACCACGGCGGTTTCATTGTCTGATGTTGACGGCAACTTCGCCATAGCCACCATAGCGATATTAATGTCCGTTCTCATCATGAAAGATACGAGGAATCCGGAAAACGAAAGCATGTACAGCACGACACGTGCTGGAATCATATCTGCAATAAAATCAATGCAATCTGGTTATTAAGAATCATATAAACCATATCGACTTGCAGTAGAAACTTGTAGTGATAATACAAATTGTCATTTTTTTCTTCCTTTTTTTCCAAACAAAAAATTGTTTTGTCATGTTGGTATATTACAAAGAATATTACCTCCCAATTTTCGTAAACTGCACGGTGACTGTTCCGTGTACATATCGGATCCTCGGATCATATCCTCATATCTGTAAAATAAAATTACTACTATGATATGCAATATTTTTTGAAGTAAAAGTCGTATTTTTCAAATAAAATTTTCAATTTTTTTTAGCTTATAAAGGAAGGATTAAGTAGCATTCGGATTTCACCTAATTTTAAATAAGTTTGGTATTTTCCCCTCACTAATTTATAAACAAATGGCACAACACAATATTCAAGTATTTGCGAAGAATTTGAAAGTTTTAAAATTTTTTATTGAATTACGAATCGATATTGTACGTACGGTTGCAGAAATTAATGTCAAAATATTAAAATGTTTTAATTATAAAACGACAATTTTTTTATTACATGCGTTACTTAATCATTTACTTAAATGCAAATTCTATAAGAATTTACATAAAAAATACACGAGAAACTTTTGATGCAAATTTCTTATGCATACTTAAATATTATTTATCGCTTGCTCATGAATATGAGAGAGCGAGAGAGAGTACTAATCATATTTAAAGTTAATAATCATATTTAAAGGCTAAATCTGTGTGTACATTACTTGACCGTTCTCGGGTTAGAGAATAATTTAATATCTGTGAGTGAAGTAAAAAACTAAAATTTGATAAAATAATCGTAACAAGTTTCTTAAAAATACAAAGTAGTATCGAGTACTTATCTATTTAAAATGTTAATAAAAATAAAAAACTATTTAAAACGGATACGTACAACAATTACAAATAAAAAACAATTACGAATAAAAACAAGAATATATTTAAAATCTGGTTTTTCACCTTTGAGATTCTTCCATTCCTTGCGTGGAGCTTTTGATATTTGAACAGAGAAAAAACGAATCTGTTGTACATAAAGATCACCTTGGACTCTGCAAAATAGAGAGAATTGATCTAATTTAATAATTATCACTTTATAAAAATGAGTTTTTTAAATTTTGGGACATGTCGGTTTATGAGTTTTCATGGTATTTGAACTATTGCATCAAGGTCATAATTTATGCGAACAGAATGAAATTCCAACACGAAACTCATATCAACATTCTTTTATCGGACAAAACACCTCTACAAAAATTTATTTATAAATGTGCTGTTCCATTAAGAATTCGAAAAAATTAATTATAAAAAATAATTACTCTCTTTTGACTTTACAGAGCTTTCTACACGATAGTTTTTCTCTTTTAATTATTAAAAGCGCAAATCGTGGTTTTGTTACGATATTAATAAACTATAAGCAATAGTATAATTTCCATTATTTTTTTCGTGCCAATTTTTGTTACATACATGAAGCTTTTGTATTTTATGGAATATGCATAAATAGTTTTGTATCATTTATTTAGTTTAACGTGAGTTAAATTTATTCTACAATTGCGCAATTGTAAGTGATCGTAGTTGTAAAAATTCATCAATTACAATTGAATATGAGAAGAATATTTGACTGTGATTGATCAATTCTTACAACTACAACCATTAACAATTACACTTACGCAATTGTAGAATAGGTTTTACTGCGATTATTTAAATTACAATATAACGCAATTCCAACTAATAGCGAATTCGATTCGACGTACTCAGTAAGTACTCAGAGTGCACTTAAAGCCGTTATATATTAAAGCCATCGTACACAAGTAAAGATATGTGTTTAATACAAATTTAAAAACGAATTAAACTGTGAAATTCTCAATACATTTTATTGTGCTATTATAAGTAAAATCTATATTTTATAATTCAAAATATTTGCATTTTATTTTTATCCAGATTAATATGCACACTAAAAAAAAATAAAATGTTAATTTAAAATTAAAGACGTATATTGCACTTTCTGAAGCATGCAAAAATGTTAAAATTTTTGTAATTTAACATTTTTACATACCTCACAAAGTTCATTATACTTTATTCTTTAAGTTAAAATTAACACTTCATTTTTTACAGTGCACACTAATGTGCAAACTAATGCATGCAACCGAATTCGTTATAAATATATACAATGTCATATGATAAAATTATCACATTTTTTTCTTTTTACAAAACAAATTCCATACTTATCAAAACAGCTAGAAAAATGCTATTATTAGGTGTTGGAATTAATTCGTAGCGTTTTACAAGTGATGGGAAGTACTTTCATTAATGTATTTTTTAATGCTCATGTGAAATAAATAACATTCTTTCATTAAAAAACGCTACGAATTAATTCCAACACCTAATATATTTTCAATAAGTTTAAATTAGATATCAAAACATCGTTTAAAATATTTTGCGCACAATGAATTGTATTTAATAAATTTCTATACCAATTCTATATTTCTAATAATCTTTAAATAACATGTTTAATTATTCTTTTCCGCTATTTAGATAAAGCACAAGAATAATTAAAATTGTATGTAAAATTATATACTTCCGCAAAAACAAAAATTGTTGAAACAGTCATTTATACATATATATATAGAATTGAAGGACAGCTTAAGTAAAAAAAGAATACAATTATTTTTTCTTGAAAAAAAAAAAAATAAATTGCACTTAGAAAATTTGTGTTAAGTTTAACACGTATTTCGTACAGCCCATTCATATTTCTATTTTATTTTTACATAAGGTGAATATTTCATTAAAGTAATACAAATCTTATGTAAAAGAATTAACACAAAAATGTAAAACTGATAATTTGTAAGTAAATTGTAGAACTATATTTTTCAGTAAAATTAACACTTTGATATATTAAATTAACACGTGTATTTATTTATTTAACCTTGACTTTACATTTTGAAATATATTATTTTCCTGTTATTTGTTTATTTGTTCTTAAATTGTATTCTTTTGATATTAAGAAATGTTAAATATCATAATGTAATATAAAATCTACATTAACAAATAACATAATCACATTATGTTAAATTAGCACTCGGATATGTTAAATACTTATTTCTGAAAAATAAATAAATAAATAAAATCTCTAAAAAATATAAATTATATAAATTATAAAACTATATAAACAATACTAAACAAAGAGTATCTAGGACCGTACATGTGAACGCATAACAGGAAAAAAAAACCTTTAACAGTCAAGTTGAGTCTTAAGTGCTTAAATAATTCTATATAAATTTATATACTACTTATGTAATCATTTAAATTGTGCGCCAAATTGATTTTTCGGTTTTGAAATGCAAATCAATTGAACTATTAGGTATTGGAATTAATTCGTAGCGTTTTACAAGTGATGGGAAGTACTTTCATTAATGTATTTTTTAATGCTCATGTGAAATAAATAACATTCTTTCATTAAAAAACGCTACGAATTAATTCCAACACCTAATACAATAGTAATACTCCACAAATTAAATTGCTTAGCAATTTACTAATTTGATGCAGACATTTGATAAAGATCTTATTAATGCTGGAAAATATATTAAAATTTGTAAATAATTTTATTACAAAAAATATAAAATTATATTAGGTGTTGGAATTAATTCGTAGCGTTTTTTAATGAAAGAATGTTATTTATTTCACATGAGCATTAAAAAATACATTAATGAAAGTACTTCCCATCACTTGTAAAACGCTACGAATTAATTCCAACACCTAATATAATATTGAGTTAAAAATTTAATTCAAAATTTTAACAAAACTTAAGTAGACCGGTAATACTTAGTGTTTTTGATTGTGTGTACAAACTTATCAGGAATACAGAAAGAAGATGTATTGAAAAACATACCTATAAAAAATACTAAAGTCGACACAGAAAAACGAAGTTTGACCGATGAGACTAATAATGGAAATGAAATTGAAAAACATACAAAAGCAAGGTGACAAAAGCAAAGCAAATAAATGAAAAAAGGGGGGATTAATATGTAGAGGGAGAATGTATAGGATGTTGGGAAAAATTAGGTAGGAAACAAAAAGTTAAGGAGGGATAGGGAGGGATGACTTAAACAGTAATTCCTTGTGATTTTGCTAAACTCATTTTTGTTTCCTTATATGCACCATTTCAGAAATTAATCTTTTATTATAACTTGATTCGTTGTTTGAAATCTGCAAGTCATTATACTTGAAACCGTGATTAGTTGTAAAACTGCGGCTGAATACAACAGGAGAACCACTTTTCTTTTTGAACGTTAACAATGTGCTTATGGACTTTAGTTTTAACATATATCATAATAATGACATGAAATTTTGTACGCTATATATTGAGTTGATTGTGAGATATAGGCTATTCATAGTCGATTTTTATATTTGAAACTGTCCAAATATAATTTTAAAATGTCATCAATCAGAGAGCCGTATTAGCATCTTAAGACTTTGCTTAAGATGGTCTTAACATAAGAACTGATTATATATTGGCCACAAATTCTAAGACAGCCTTATCAATTTTTATGTATTTTTTGAGGATAAGTAGAAAACTTTCTGAGATGATATCGATATAAAGAACAGTGACGTGTTTCTCTTTAATGATGGAACAATTATCTACCGGAGAAAATGGATTTCCGTATAAATCCAATTACAAATTAATTTTTTTAATAACAAATTTATTTAAAAAAAAATTACAAAAAAGGAATGAAATGTATAAAAAAGCATAAATTTATCAACAAAAATTTTAGCAGATAATTATGCAAGAATTCATCATAGTCAAAAAAATAATTTGAGCATTGTATACAGATAAAACCTATTTCATATATATATTTATTCTCTATAAAATATATAATCTTATTAACAGAAAAATTTTAGACTAGATTTAAGATTTCAGATTTAAGTTGCAGCTATGGTGCTTTTTTTATTTTATTTGCATTCAGTGTTTCAAAGTATCGAATAATTCACTGAGTAATAACATTAGGTCTGTTCGCATTACTTGAAAAAAATCCTTCAAAATTTTTAAACCTAAAATGAGACAGATATTTGAAGAGAGAAAGAGCGAAGATACTGAGTTCATAAAGTACAAATAACGCGAATAAAAAATAAATCTTTTATGTTATGATGATAAATGTGCATAAAGTAAAAAATATATATAGCTAAAGTTTACATAGTATTTTTACGTGATGAATGAAGCATTTTTATATGAAAATTATCTACATTCAGTTTAATAGAACTTTTTATCTTATAAGAAAGTTATATAAAATCATCATAACGTTATCTTCATTTTTCCAGAAAGAAATGGAACGCTCTCGGAATATAAGTGATGAGACATTGTATAAAATAAAAAAATTGATATAATACACTTTAACTTCTGAATGAAGAATGAATAAAACAATGTTATTATTAAGGATATTATGTTATATTAATATTTTAACGATAAAGAACTTATATCATTAAAATGATATTATATTAAATATTCATGAAAATAAATTATTATTACATTTTTTATTTTCCGTGTGAAAAGAAGTACGCTAGTATGACAATGCGCGAACAGTTTTTTTTCCAAGTAATTATACGCATCGTTAGCTTCAATATCGAAGAATCATGTCGATGAAGTGATGTTGAAAAGTTAGTATAAATTCATATAGTTCGATGTGAGAGGGAATGTAAGAATATTTGCTAGCGAATGAAGAAATTTGCATCATATTAGCATATTTTCTCGTTTTCCGACAGTCATGTTGAGTGAGAAACGACTTCGATATATCGATGCATCACAACTGATAAGAGCTAGCAAAGTATAATAAATCATAAGTTACAAATGAATAAATTCATGAAAAATATAAAAAAATATCACATTGGCCTCTGTTCAAAATGTCACTTACGTCGAAGATAAAGTTCCGAGATATGTAGAGGAATTACGACTTTACGAAATGCAACAGGCGCGACTCGAAGCGTGTGGTGAACGGAAGAAATCGCGATACGCGATTGACATGATTGCAGACAGAACGAAGTGTCGACACTGAAAGGCGACCGAACCAAGGCGTCGAATATCTTCATTGACCCCACCATTGCGCCGGTTTTCGTTCTTATAATACGAGAACAATGTATGGAATATTATATTACTATACTAGGGCTAAAACATGTGACATTTTTTAATAGTCGATTATTACTGACAGTCACATGCTATAGTCGAAGTTTTAAATGAATGATTCATCTGTTCTTTATCGATGAATTGGTGTATACCAATACAATAAGTTAAAGTAAAACAAATATAAATAGTGTTTCATGTGCACTAGTTTAGAGAAACAAATTAATTAATATCTTTTTATTATTTAATATAAATCTAAATATATCTTCTTCTTCATTATTTATTATATTTTAGTTAATTATGTAAATATTTTTTATTTCCATTTTTCCAGTCTACGTATAACTGATTAGTCATATCTTTTCTTATGTAATGAATGTATTTAATAAACCTGTTTTTTATTGATTAAATAATTCGTAATTAAAAAACAGATTTATTCAATATATTCATTACATAAAAAGAAAATATGAATAATGAGTTATATATGTATAGACTAGAAAAATAAAAAATATTTACTTAATTATTTTTTATAATTAACTAAAAATAATAAATAAGGAAGAAGATATTTAGATTTATAATAAAAAGATATTAATTATTTTGTTATGGAAACATTAGCTCCACTTGATTATTTTTAAAGCAAATATGATAAAGAAGTAACGCTGATGTAATCATTGACTTAATAAATTATCATATTCCCATTATAATCAAATCTGTAAGATGTAATTAACTGAGAAATAACTATTGTTTCCTTACAAGAATGAATCTTTGAAATGATCATGTTATATAATAATATCGAATAATACGTTAAATGGATATAATTCAAGAATGCGTTATATCATCAGTAATAGATTTAATTAAGTGTATCATTAACAATAGATTTAACAACTCGTGCATTTTCCTGTATTGGCGAATATATCAGCAATGATATTTCAGTTCAAGGAAAAACATTTTCTTTTATATTACTAGCCTTTGCGCATCATAAATATTTCATCATTTTTTCCACACAACTGTCAATACAAAGCACACGCATACTCATGAATTATTTCACGCTCTCGGTTGTAATATTTTTAAGTATATTCTGCGGTGAAATATAAAGACCGTTCTTTGCTCGATCGATAGTTTGTGTTGTATTATGACGAGAAATGATAACGTGTAATATCTGTTTATATTTGACCTTACAAGTTCCAAGGGTCTCTTGAAGTATGGATTATTTTTCCGATGATATATGAGTTAATAAAATATGTATAAATTTATAGTCCAAATGGAGTTGAAGACCTCACAATTGTGAAGTAACATTTTATTCGATCATTATTATCATAACGAAGAAATTTTTTTTTTTCGCTCGCAATATTGAGTTTAATTATCTCTTAGTTGACCTTATTAGGTTCACAAATAAGACAGATCATACAATTCGATCAATCAAATACTCCGAGCAAATATAAAAGTGATGTGCGTCATAACAGTTACGTACATAACATTCATAAATGTGTATAGAATTTTGCTTCCGTTTGTAAAAAATAAAGTGTCATATTTTATGTATTATCAAAATGTAGTTTACTTTAGTTTATCAGCTAAACATAATACAAATTATTACGTTTAGATAATAAATATAATACTTTGTATTACGTTTGTTGTGTACAAAGCAAAGTATCGAATAGGAAAAATGATAATACAGTGCCAAAGAAAATTAAAAACAATAAATATATTATTTAATATATGTTTAGAATATATGTTTAATATATATATGTTAAAAATATATGTTTATTTTAAAAACTAGAATTGTTTGAATAGCAAGAAAAGTAAAATAATATAGTGAATTTAATTTAATATATTACGATAGTTGTAATTATGTGCCACAAATATATATCAAGACAAAACGATTTCTCACATCTTTACAATTTTCTGGTTGTGCAACATAATTAAAGAAACGTACTAATTACTGTAAGAAACCTTAAGAGTCTGAATTCAATTTTAATTAACTTCGGTTAAGAGACATAGATGGTTTCTGATGTCTAGTAACATACATATGTAACTTCTTAAAGCTGAGCATTGACAAGTTCATTACTGTTACTATTTGTTTAGTATAAATTATGATGATGTGTATGTGATGGTCTGTTTCGTATGTTTAATAATAATGGAACTGCAATTCTTAACAAGAAAAGTATACTACTATATTATATTGTTCTAAGTTCCTAAATTTCTAGAAAATTTTCTTCACAGATTGATATGCTTAATGTGATTACCATTCATTTGGTAGATGACTTATAATGATTTTTGGTAGCCAATCCCTAATGATGATTAAAAAGAACTGCAGTTGGTTTCTTCGCTGATGAATATTTTAATGTATGATGCTAAAAGAACTCTTCTAAATCATGTTATTTATGATGATCAATTTTTGAAGAAATTTCAATTTTTTTTATACATTAAAGTCACACACCATTAAATCACCTTCAACTCGTTCCTGTCCAAAGTAAACAGATTGATTATACTCATAAGTTTTTACATACAGTAGAAATATAAATATTTTTTAACTAAATAGAAATTTATTTCTGTGCATTGCTGAAAAGAAAATTTCTCAGTCATTTTGGACAATACATTAAAATCTCAATATTTAAAATAAAATAAGTCTTGAAACATCTGTCATGAATGTTACGTATTATTTTCATCCGTGCTACACGATGTTCTTGCAATTAGTCATATCATAATTGAAGGTTACTCGAACGATATGACTTTGCACAAATCGCGCAATTCTATAGAATTAGGTTAACATAGGTTCGATAACTACCGTTTGAAGAAGTATAATATAGATAACATTGGTGTGAATGATGGACACTGGCTGATTTGAGGTTAAACACGCTGATTTCTGAAAACGTGCTAAAAAGCACGTGGCCTATCATAACTGCCTTCGAAAGCAGTGAGTCACAAGGATTGCATAAATCGAAGGACAGCCGATGGGGACTCACTTTAGCAACGTTTCTGCGTTCAGCGGATGTCTCGTGTAGCGTGGATGCTCTCTTGCGCGGCATTTTCATCCACGCGGCGGCACACGCGACAATATCGGCGCGTGTTCACCCACGTTGCCTGAGAGAAGCGCGTTGCTTCACGATAAGTCAAAAAAGTGGAGACGACGAAGGCAGGTATGACAAAAGTGAGACAAGGAGAGGCGAACCAAACCGAAGCGCGAGCACCGGTAGAATGCGGGGAACGCCGCACCAAATGTACGACTGCTGCCAGCTGCCGACGCAAGCGTTACGTCGGCTTGCGTCGGCTCCTTTGATGACGATAACTACTGTCGTGATCACGTGACTCAAGAACGAGCGGTGCCCAACTGCCCAGGCGATCGATGGAGGTTTACTGCGCCGACGCGATGCAGTATAATATACTATTACGCGTGAAATGCAACGTAACACTTTAAAGTGCTGAGAAGATAGAAAAACTATCTTCTTGAATAACTTCACTCAGCACGATTTACAGGCAAAAAGATTTCAACTTGATCAAATGCAATACTATGCTTGTTGTTAGTCAAAGTATAATCTAACCAGGGCTTGGGCATGTATTTGAAATACTTTTATTTGAAAAACAGTATTTGTAAGACAATTATATTTTGTATGGTATTTCATGAGAATATATAAAAATATTTTATATTTTAGTATTAATATTGAAAGATTGAAAATATTTTATATTTCAAAGTCGTAAAATCAATCTCATTATTGCACAACCACATTATTACAAAATACAAAAACTTTTAATCTTTTGATTTTAAATACAAAATACGCAATACTTTCATATGCTTCGCTGAAATACAAAATACATTTATACTGCACATACTGTGTTTTAAATAAAAGTATTTCAAATACATATCCAGTCCTGAATAATCTAACAGTAAGTATAGTGTATTTCCATTCGCTATAAATTATAGAAGAGAATTGAAAGACACTTACAATAGTTCAATCAAGAGATGAATCTTTACTTAAGATGGGCAGATCCTTGTTAAGATAATTATAAGCAAGAGCACGACATGTTTTAATATAAAAAGATGATTGGTTTTGAAGATGAAATTTAGAATTGCTGTGGAAAGGATAACAACTAGCTGAAAGAGAGTCTCAATATTTAAGAAGAAAGGGATTCGTTACATAGGATTCCTATCACAGTTGTGGTGGATGATTTCGGGGAGAAGTTTAGACACTCTGTTTTTATTTTTACAAAATTGCAATACAGATAATGGGATAAAGAATTTATTATAAAGGAATATAGGAATATAAGATTAGACATTATTTGTTAAAGAATTATTTTAAAAAAGTTATTTATATCTAATATTCAAGAATATTAGAAATTTTTAAAATTCTGCGAAAGTAGTTGCCGCGTAACATAACGTACGATGAACAAGTTAGATATGATCCCTATGACTCATTTACGAGACTGGTATCACACCCTTATGTGTGCCATTATTAAATTATTTCTTTATTAATAAGTCTTTAGGAATTGGTGTTCCCTGATATTTAAATATTTATTTGTTAAAACGTATTTTATGAGATATGTATTAATGATTGAAAAAATAATTTGATATTTATTTTGCGTATTTGAATGGTTTGTAATATTGGAAGATTTTATTCTTATTTTTATTGTATATTTTAAGATAGAATATTAATTCTTTTATACATATTGTAACATAAAGGCTTAAAATCTATTCATAATAATCGCAATTGTAAAATAGCGCGCAAAAGTTTGTTGTTAAACATTAATAACGCGGATGTTTAGTTAGTTCGAAAAGAGAGAAAAATTGATATAGAAAAAGAAATCGAACATGAAATAATATAAGTGAAAGTAAGTAAACCTAATATCTCTCTAAAAACAAAAGTAAAAATAGACTGATATTAAAATTAAAAAGAAAAAAAAATTGTAAAATATTTCTACTGTGATACTGTATAGAAATCGTTGCCATTTTTCATATTGAATTCTATTTGAATCGACTTTTCTTACGTCGCATAATGTAAACACAACTTCGTGCGAATAACTACTTTTTGGCGACGTAAGAAAATTCATGTAAATGTTGTCGAACTCATTAATTAATGCCATCATTCATAATATGAATCAAGGAAACTCTTCAATTCAGCCGAAAAAGAAGATTTCAAAAAATTCCTTGATCCTGTCACATGACAACAATTGCAAGTAGGTTATTTTATGATGTTATGGTTATAGTGACGAAAAATATGCATTTTTTTTAACAATATATCAAGAAATAATAATATAATATTTTGCTAGATTAAAAGCATTATCTTCGTCAACATGTATATCAGATTTTACAATGACGGATTTAAAGACAGATCTATCGGAAGACAACAAAATTATGCTTGGTTATGGAAAATCTACTCACACTAATAAAATGGTAGCTGTGTAACATTTATATCATAGACATAAAATATTAGACAAAATATGTTATGTCAAATTATATAATACGTTCGGATATCAGGTTTCCAATGCAAATGTTTCCGCAAGAAAATTGTGGAACAATTCGTTCAAGATGACCAGAAATTCCATTGCTATAGATGACGTAATCGAAGAAGGTTTTGTACTTAAAAATTGTGTACTTTATAGAATTTTGTATAATGTAGAATAATATTTTGATAATATAGAACTACTGGTTGGGAAGAAATTAAATTAAAAGTTGGCTAGAATATTTTAATACATAACAAAATTTATTATAGTAGTTTTAAACAGAATGTTATATTAAGCATTTAAAGCAATTGTAGATTTTGGCGTTACATATCCGTTATTGCGTAATGTATTGATTTCAGAAAGTGAGCTCATTGGCATGTTGACGAAACAGTTGCATTTAGCTGAGTCACAAATGCGAAAAATGCAATCTGTTTTGATGAAAGCCGAGGAAGGCTTGCGAACTAAGGATCAGGAAGTTGGACGCTTAAAGCGGAAGGTTCTCTGTACGCTTTTTTTAATCTAAGAATGTAGTATTATCATTATATTCATAGTTAGTTTGGCAGAATTAATTTTCAAGTTGTGTATTTGCATTGCGTGTTTATTACATTTAGTTATTTTACAACATCGAATACATTTCTTCATGTATTCTATTTATATTTTTCTGTACTTTTGAATGATTTTTACAATTTTTTTTATGATATATTATTTTGGTAGATTAAAGAATGGGAAGCTAAGTACAAAAGTCAGGAACTGCTGCGAAAGAAGGAGCAACGAAGTCAAGCTAAGAATTCTGAATATTTTTATCAACGATGTCTAATGCTAGAACATAAAATTAGCGAAATGGAGGTTTAAATTTATATTTCAAATATGTTTGTTTGACGTATTTAAAACATAAATAAAAATTAGCAATTATGTCGTTTTGCAGAAGTTCTTGGCTGATTATGGATTAATATGGGTGGGTGATGCCAAAAATATGATAAACGTAGATAGTAGCAAGTAATTAAAATAAATATTTTATTACTACTAACTAGAAATAAAAATAACAATTCTAATAATTAGTAATAACTTCGTTATAGTAATTATATCAACATGTGCTATGAACAATTAGTTACGAATATCGATCAATTGAATCTAACTGCGGGAAAGGGTGAAGTTCACATTCATCATAATGAGAAAGGAGGAGGAGCGACATTCAAAGTAATGCTCTAGTTTCATAATACGTACTTTTATAGCATGTAAATATAATATAGCTTATAATATAGCTAAATATAATATAGCTTTCATAGCATGTAAATAGAATATTACTTGCAAGACTCCATGAAATCCATGAAATTACGTGAACTTTTTTTTATATACGTCACAAATATATCAAAGATATTAATTACTGATTAATTGAAATTAATATATTTGCTAATTAGTAATTATTTATATCGTCAATCAGCATTTTTTAATGCATTTTAACTAAAGACTCTTTCCTGCATGGCATTGAAATTTTATAAAAATGGTATGTGCATCAATGGAAGACCATTGCGATCTTATCATGATTCGACTGCAGTCTCGTTTATCCGTGATATTCTGGACGGATATTTTCCATCTGAATTGCAACAAGAATATCCCGATGGAGTGCCCTTTGTGGTAAATGTAGAATAATAGAATAGAATTTTAAGATATACGAGATATTTTCCGCATTTTTTTAGAATCTTTTTTAGAATCTGTGAGATTAACAAAAATTTGGTTAGAGAGAGAGAGAGAGAGAGAGAGAGAGAGAGAGAGACTATTATTTTTTCCAATTAATATTTTGACTTACGCTTGTAGATAGAAGATCATAGAACAGAATTTTATATAGATGATTCTAATAATTTTCCTGGTCAAGGATATCGTTTGGGAAAGCAATCTTCAGTGGATAACTTGTTATCGACAAATTTACGCAGATCAAATAATTTCCAAAGATATGCTCGTGCAAACCCTTCACCGAAAGATAACACTTCCGAGAACATTCCGTTTTTATCATTTGCAAACCGGTATTATCACTGCTTATTTAAAACACACGCAAATATTTAAGTACTTACAATATTGTAATATGCACTCTTTGACAAAAAGGTTTAAATCTATATATAACTTTTTTTTTTATCAAAGAATGTATATTAAATTATAGTAAGTCTAAACCAGTGCTTTTTTGTTAAAAAAAAATATATATATATAATATATAATATATATGTATATTCCAGCAAATTAATCTTATAATTAATCTCATAATTATGAAGAAATTAGTAGCTAACTATAATTATGTAATTGTTAAAAATTTTATAATGCATCTTCATATCGCCCTATTAGTTCATTGGATTCCAGAATTTCTTCAGAATCGCCTTCTGTCGATATATATTCTTTGAGATCGCAGATTTTGGCTTCGCATAATAATATTTGTTCTAGTTCTCACATTCAGTCTCACGTTAACGCTGAATTAGCACGAAGTAACTTTTCTCGACGAGAAAAAGTAAATCATTCATTAAATTTTCCGAATTTAATATTATAATATGAATAAATTATATATTGTATATATACTATTGTTTTGGAAAAGAGAGAATTGGCTACAAAAAACATAGAATATGATATGTCGATGAGTGAACAATCATCCAAGTCGAAAGATACCTTAAGATCCACAAGCAGCAGGACGAAACACCATAGCTTTTCTGATAGATCGTCATCAAGGTTTTCTCATATGAAGTAATCCTTATTCATTTATGTATTGAAATTAAATACTGAAATTAAATTTTCCAATAGGTCACAAATTATTGATAATCGCTTTCGGTTACGTTCGAAATCTGCTAGTTCGTCCGC